TAATTAAACAACTATGAGCCAATCATACGGAAAAATATAAAATACTCAATAGAGATAAGTTTAAAAATAAAACCAATAATCTCACAACGATTAACTAAAAGCTTCAACTTGATTTAACCAAGAATGGAGTTTAGTTGTTCATAATAAATTACAGAGAGAATTTATTTAAATGGTTGCTATTCAAAACTTGGAAGAAAGGAACAAATAATACCCTAATTTTTCTATTCATACCTAAAACTAGGGTTATATCACATGTGTGTCGACCTCATATGGTCACACGAACTTGATACATAAAGTCACTTGATTTGTTGTTTAATCTCACAAAGAACTAGTATGGCAACTGGATAACCACAATGGCTAGAGAAGGGATAGAGGAATGAGGGAATCGTTCATTCTCACTCAAATGCGAAACTAGTGGAATTGGGACAAGCGTGACAACTACGCATGAACGAATGGTACTAAGGGTCCTCCGGAATGAAGTGCTAGCTTCTTTCAAAGACAACCGTAGTTTTTTTTATCCCTAGCATATAAGATATATAAAATTATTTAGAAAAATTATTTCAATTTGATAGTTTATTTATAAGAAAACAACGATTAAATATTTTATACTAAGTGAGTTCGAGTTTTCAATTTAAAACAAAAAATACTATAAAAAAAAATAACTTGCAAGGAATCTATTGACTAAATTTGAAGTTAATAGACTAAAATAAAATTATTACAAATTTGATTTCAATTAATTTTGATTATAGAAAGAAGAAATAAATTAATAAAACATGTGAATTCTTTTTTTTCCTCCTTCTTAAATAATTTTTTATTTCTATGCTTTGCAAGCTAGTCCTTGAATATAGGTGTCATGCTTAGACCAACCATCTTTCCTTTTTTTCTTTTTTTTCACATTTGACTTTCAACTATTCATTAACTAATTTGAGATTTTTTATTAAAAAAATTGAGAAAAAATTATTTGAAATACACTTTTAATCTAAAAATTTATTTAGACAAATTATATATACTAATTATGCCACTATAATTTAAAAATTATCTAAATCTATTTTTCAAAAGAAAAAATAATTATGTTCTAAAAATTTATTCCAAAATCCATACAGATAGAAAAAAACAAATCAAACTTATTAAAAAATATAATTTCAAATTAATTGGATGAGAATTTTTTTAAAAAAAATGACAAATTAAAGTAGTAAATTTTAAATAATAAAAAAAATTTACAAAAAATAATAAAAAAGGGATCAAATCACAATAAAATTAAAGTTTGAAATTCAAAAAAAAATGTATTGAAAAATTGAGGAACGTAAAATTTTAAATTAATTAGATGAGAATTAAAAAAAATTAAAGTAGTAAATTTTAAATAATAAAAATAATTAACAAAAAACACTACAACAAAATGGGATCGAATTATAATACAATTAAAGTTTGAAATTAAAAAAAAGTATAGAAAATTTGAGGACTAAAAAAGTATTTCAAACAAATTATACATATTAATCATGCCACTATAATTTAAAAACTATCTAAATCTATTTTTCAAAAGAAAAAAATAAGCATGTTCTAAAAATTTATTCCAAAATCTATACATATAGAAAAATAAATCAAAACTGTCGAGTAAATATAATTTTAAATTAATTGGATGAGAATCTAAAAAAAATGACAAATTAAAGTAGTAAATTTTAAATAATAAAAATAATAAACAAAAAACATTAAAACAAAATGGGAGCAAATCACAATACAATTAAAGTTTGAAATTGGAAAAAACATGTATAGAAAAATTGAGGAGCATATAATGTTAAATTAATTGGATGAGAATTTTTTAAAAAATGACAAATTAAAATAGTAAATTTTAAATAATAAAAAAAGATTAATAAGAAGCTCTAAAATAAAATGGGACCAAATCACAATATAATTAAAGTCTAAAGTTGAAAAAAAAAATGAGAGAATTTTTAAAAAAATGACAAATTAAATTAGTAAATCTTAAATAAGAAAAATAATTAACAAAAAATACTAAGACAAAATGGGACCAAATCACAATACAATTAAAGTTTGAAATTAAAAAAAAAAGTATAGAAAATTGGAGGAGCAAAGTGTTACAAAAATATCATGAATAGTGAAAGGAATAATGATTTGTAAGTGTCCGAATAGTGTTTCAAATAGTGAATAAATAGTAAAATCAATGGTTTTACTTTAGTTTTATGTATAAATTAAAGTAGTAAATTTTAAATAATAAAAATAATTAATAAGAAGCACTAAAATAAAATGGGATGAAATTATAATATAATTAAAGTCTAAGGTTGAAAAAAATGAGAGAATTTAAAAAACAAATGAGAAATTAAAGTAGTAAATCTTAAATAAGAAAAATAATTAACAAAAAAATACTAAGACAAAATGAGACCAAATCAAAATACAATTAAAGTTTGAAATTAAAAAAAAATAAAGAAAATTTGAGGTCAAAACTATTACAAAAATATCATAAATAGTGAAATGAATAGTAATTTGTGAGTGTGTGAATAGTATTTAAAATAGTGAATGAATAGTAAAACCAATGGTTTTGCTTTAGTTTAAAAATATTTAATAAGAAACACTAAAATAAAATGAGACCAAATCACAATATAAGTAAAGCCTAAAGCTGAAAAAAATGAGAGAATTTAAAAAAAATAACAGATTAAAGTAGTAAATCTTAAATAAGAAAAATAATTAATAAAAAAATACTAAGATAAAATGAGACCAAATCAAAATACAATTAAAGGTTGAAATTGAAAAAAAATATAAAAAATTTAAAGACTAAAGTATTATAAAAATATAATAATTTTTTATTTCTATGCTTGTGCGAGCTAGTCCTTGAATACGAGTCTCATGCACGAGCAATAATCTTTTTTTTTTTTTTCACATTAGACTTACAACTATTCATTAACTAATTTGAGATTTTTTTATTTAAAAAAATCAAGAAAAAATTATTTGAAATACACTTTTAATCTAAAAATTTATTTAGAGAAATTATATATACTAATCATGCCACTATAATTTAAAAATTATCTAAATCTATTTTTCAAAAGAAAAAATAATCATGTTCTAAAAATTTATTCCAAAATCCATACATATAGAAAAATAAATAAAAATTATTAATAAATATAATTTTAAATTAATTGGATGAGAATTTTTTAAAAAATGACAAATTATAGTAAATTATAAATAATAAAAATAATTAACAAAAAAATAAAAAAGGGACCAAATCACAATAAAATTAAAGTTTAAAATTGAAAAAACAATGTATTGAAAAATTGAGGAATGTAAAATTTTAAATTAATTGGATGAGAATTAAAAAAATAAAAATTAAAGTATTAAATTTTAAATAATAAAAATAATTAACAAAAAACACTAAAAAAAATTGGATCAAATTACAATTAAAGTTTAAAATTGAAAAAAAAAGTATAGAAAAATTGAGGACTAAAAAAGTATTTCAAACAAATTATACATATTAATCATGCCACTGTAATTTAAAAATTATCTAAATCTATTTTTCAAAAGAAAAAATAATCATGTTCTAAAAATTTATTCTAAAATCTATACATATAAAAAAATAAATCAAAATTGTGAGTAAATATAATTTTAAATTAATTGGATGAGAATCTAAAAAAAAATGACAAATTAAAGTAGTAAATTTTAAATAATAAAAATAATTAACAAAAAAATATTAAAACAAAATGGCGAGCAAATCACAATACAATTAAAGTGTGAAATTAAAAACAAAAATGTATAGAAAAATTGAGGAGCATATAAGGTTAAATTAATTGGATGAGAATTTTTTAAAAAATGACAAATTAAAGTAGTAAATTTTAAATAATAAAAATAATTAATAAGAAACACTAAAATAAAATGGGACCAAATCACAATATAATTAAAGTCTAAAGTTGAAAAAAAAATGAGAGAAGTTTTAAAAAAATGACAAATTAAATTAGTAAATCTTAAATAAGAAAAATAATTAACAAAAAATACTAAGACAAAATGGGACTAAATCACAATACAATTAAAGTTTGAAATTAAAAAAAAAAGTATAGAAAATTGGAGGAGCAAAGTGTTACAAAAATATCATGAATAGTGAAAGGAATAATGATTTGTAAGTATCTGAATAGTGTTTCAAATAGTGAATGAATAGTAAAATCAATGGTTTTACTTTAGTTTTATGTATAAATTAAAGTAGTAAATTTTAAATAATAAAAATAATTAATAAGAAATACTAAAATAAAATGGGATCAAATTACAATATAATTAAAGTCTAAGGTTGAAAAAAATGAGAGAATTTAAAAAACAAAATGACAAATTAAAGTAGTAAATCTTAAATAAAAAATAATTAACAAAAAAATACTAAGACAAAATGAGACCAAATCAAAATACAATAAAAGTTTGAAATTGAAAAAAAATATAGAAAATTTGAGATCCAAAGTATTATAAAAATATCATAAATAGTGAAATGAATAGTGATTTGTGAGTGTGTGAATAGTATTTAAAATAGTGAATGAATAGTAAAATCAATGGTTTTGCTTTAGTTTAAAAATAATTAATAAGAAACACTAAAATAAAATGAGACCAAATCACAATATAATTAAAGTTTAAAATTAAAAAAATGAGAGAATTTAAAAAAATGACAGATTAAAGTAGTAAATCTTAAATAAGAAAAATAATTAATAAAAAAATATTAAGATAAAATGAGATCAAATTAAAATATAATTAAAGGTTGAAATTGAAAAAAATATATAAAAAAATTTAAAAGCTAAAGTATTATAAAAATATAATAAATAGTAAAATAAATAGTAATTTATGAATACGTAACAGTGTTTTAAACGAGAAATGAACGGTAAAATCAATAGTTTTTCTTTACTTTTATGTATAATGTATAATATAATGTACAAGAGCGGAGCGTCGTATCGGTTTGGGCGAGAGTGAATTGCGTTGTATCGTTAAAGCAAAAACATTCTGAAATCAAAATAAAAAGATAGAGAATGCCGGTGAGAGTGGTAGAGACCTCCTCCTCCTCCTCCTCCTCTGCTCCTGCTCAACTTTCAGGTATTCCTTCCTTCCCCCTCCATCTTTGATTCAATTCGATCTAATTAGCTTATTAATCATAGGGTTTCTCTTTATTTCTGTCATTAATTAATTATTAATGAAGCCTATCTAGTAATGATCATGATGATGGTGATTAATTAAAACTGTGAAGGTGAAAATTCATCAGGACACACTTCACCTCCAGTTTGTACTCTTTTGACTGTTGGACAGGTGAGTGAACACCTTTGTTATTATTATTATTATTATTATTATTATTATTTTAATTTCTTTCCCTATATATATATATATATATATATATTTTTCATTGAATGAGCATGACTAAATAAATTGAAGTTTTGTGTGTGTCTTTTTTTTTTTTAAAAAAAATATTTATTTACTGCAGGCCTTTTCGGGTACCCAGAATGTTTCTAGTCTACAGAAGGATGAAGCTTGGAGAGTTAATGTTCGCATTCAAGGATGTGACCTTGATCATGGTTACTTATGTGGTACTATGGAAGCCCTTAATGTCCCTATGGCTGATACTCCCGTACGAAACCAGCCATCTTCTTTTCTTTCAAACTTTTTTATTTTTTAGTCTTAAAATGATTACCTTCCAATCTTGGCGAATGAAAGTTTGAACTAGGATATGCCTTGACAATTATGTGTGACTTAATACTAACAACTTATGCTTTGAATCTCTCTGTGGTATTAAGATTGAAGGTAATTGCTTGTTATTGTGACATATTGGTGTCTTGGTATTTCGTTTATCGCTCTTAATTCTTATGTATACTCTATGGGGTGAATTTGAGCTTGCTACTATGCCTAGGATAGGACTTGAATGCCATTGGACCTCATCAAAGGGATTATGGGTTGTTAACAATCCTACCTTGTTTTATTCTGGCTGGTTTATTGTGCTTTGGTGAATATCTAGAATGTACTTGGATTTACTGTTTACTTTTTTTAGTCATGATGTGTGTCAGGTAGTGACATTTTGGGAAGGAGAAATCGTTGATGGCAAGAATTACACTTTCTTCACTGGCAAATGGGAAGCCTCGTATGTGCCTTTCTTCAATCTTTTATTTATGGATCATGGTTAGATATCAGTGACTGTGGACAGTTCTTTTTGCTTTTTAATTAGTTCAAAAAATTTTAATAGGCCAGAAGATGATATAAGGCACTGGACTAAGTTTCCATCTTTCCAACCATTTCTGGTATGATTCAGAACCTATTTTGCATACATGCAGAGTATCTGCTCTCTGATTGACTTTGTTCTTCACAGGAACAAGTGAAGGTTGATGGTGGCAAGGCTTTGGACTTGATTAGCTATCCGTACATATTTATGGTACTTTATGATCAATCTTTTATCAGCTGGTGATAGAATCATTATGTCAGAATTAGTAACTTGACATTTTCTTTGATTTCTATGTCCAGAGATGGAAAGAGCAATACTTTGTCAATGTTGGAACAGACTGTGGGTTGACCATAGCTGGTTTTTACTATGTTTGCTTCTCTTGTACTGATGGTTCCATCAATGGCTTCTACTATGATCCTAATAGCAGGTATTGCAACTCTTTCCCTTGGGCCTGAGCTTCTAGATAAGATTACTTATTTTCTTCTTTAGATGTTAGATGTTATGATTTCAATTTCACTCTGTTTATAGAAACATCATATGCTTTAAACTAGATCAAGCCTGTTCCAACTTTACTGTCCTTGTTTATTTTTCTGTACTTCAAAACAAACTGATGAATGGAATGTGGAAATGAATCATTCTGCATTTAACTTGCAGCCCGTTTCAGAAGCTTGAACTGAAATCGACAAACGAGGGAAGATCAGGTTTCAGTTTTTCATCTTATGAGTTGCAGTAAAATGGAACTGATGCACCTGAGAGAATTTGTTTATTTAAGCTGAGCTTCTTGAACTACATCTCCAAAAACCATGTTACTCTATATGTAATAGTAAAATACCAGCTGGTGCTGCTCAAAAAAGCCCATCAGGGACTTCTATATATAATTTCTAACTGTACAAGTAGCATTGTATCTGGTCATAGATGTTTGTGCGCATTATAAGCTGGTTGGATGCCATCTGTATCGGATGGTCAAGAAAATTGTTTTTGAGCACATCTGTGTCTTGACAAGATAAGTCTGGGATGCGATCCAATGAACAATCAAATTTGTACTGGAAGCAGTAGCCCAAGGGAAAAGGTTTCAGAAACCAGTTCGATAGCAAAAACAAAATAATTATTAAGCATTATACTAGTAGCAGGTCGCACTTTGGGCTGCAAATGATCTTGCAATTTCCATGTGCTAATTATGCCTGTGTAGTTGCGGATTTGGATGGGGATGACTAATTATGGTGCTTGGTCTGTGAGAAATATTCTTATAGTATGGTCGATGTGTTATTTTTTATTTTAAATTTATAAGTGACAATTTAAAGACTTAAAAGATTCTAATGGACTTTAGTGGTGGGCTAGGCACATTCATGATAGATGGAGGGGCAAAATTAGGTTAAAGAAAGGGTCTTTAGTTTATCCAAATAAATATTAAGTAAAGTATGTGTTTTTCATTGACACGCAAAACCTTAAAGTATTGGCACAAACTAGAAGACTCTCTCTCCTTCATGGTTACGGATTTTCTTCAGCAATCTTTTGAACACTTAATCAATTATGATTGGAGATATGTATCCTATTAATTTTTGTTGCACTTTTATGCCTTAGCATGTCTAATTTCGCTACATATGGTAGTGAAACCCCCTTCTTCATGCTATTTTGATTAATTCTGCAGTGTGCAAAGATGATCATCCATCTTTCTTGCCGTATGATATAGTCAATTAATTGTTTAAAAGATTCAAGGAGATTTGACAAAACTTTGCTCATGGATAAAATTGTACAGTTTATATATATATGTTTTCCTGTTTGTCAAAGCTGTACACATATTGTCTTGAAAAACAATGAAAATCGCGACATGTTTGGTAACTTTTATTTAATGATTTAACGTACGTATATGAATCATAAGCCCTAGGCTTATTCAAGTCCTCAATTCGTGACATATATTCTAGGATTTAGGTTGGTCATTATGAATCTTAGGTACACTAATCTCAATTTCTGCAAACAACAGTGCCAATAAAGCATGAATATAGTCTATATGGTTACTTGTTGATTTTAAAATAATTGTGCACATACAGTGTATTTGACTTAGACCTAATTGTTTGCTTATTTAATATAAAACAATTTCTTTTAATTTTTCACGCATATATTATAAGCTTTGTTAGCATAAGTTATATGCAGAAAAATTACTAGATATAATAATAAATAAATCATGACATGATTTACATTATTATTTTGGTATGTCAACATAGAGTTTTAAATGGATGTTAAAGCATGCTATGTTGAGTGATGATGTCAATTGACTTTAAAATAGCCACAACTTCTTAAATTATTTTGATGATTACATTAAAGTTTATTAAATTAATATGCTCTTAAAGTACATATTTTAATTTGTAATTATTTTATAAAAATAAAGATCTAGTCTTACATGGAGGTTATTATTTTTATAATTTAATTGGAATAATATAATAAATTGATATAAAGAATAGATTTTATTCTAGGCCTTCACGTGAATATTTTTTATTCTTGGTATTTTATTTATTAGTCTTATTATTAAATAATTAGTGAATTCTATGCATGATGTAAACTCTATCCATAGGAAGGTTGGAATTTACTACTAAATTGATAGTGGTTGATTTAAATAAAGTATGTTTTTCATAGTATTAAAATCTTTTCTTGGTTATTGCAGACTTTTCTCCTTTTTTATTAATACACCTAGTATTTCAATGTTATGTTGTATTAATTTTGTTTATTGGAAAGAAAATATTCTTTTTGCATTGGGGTGTGTGGATTTGGATTTGGCTTTACGTGTGAATGAACCACTCATTCCTACGAATTCAAGTGATGCATAGGAAAAGACTAATGAGCGAGTGGAAGCAATCTAATTGCTTAAGTTTAATACTTATAAAGTCTTCCATAAATAAGAGTATTAGGGGTTCAATCATTGAATGCTTCAAAGAAAAAGATTTCTTGAAGGTCATAGAGGAATAATTTGTTCATTCTAATAAAACATTTGTTAGCACCTTAATGAAAAAGCTTTTTGACAAGTCATTTAACTATTCTTAAGGTGTGTGCAAGCACATTATGAAAATAAGAGACACTATTGCTCAATTGAAGTCCTTAAAAGGTAGAGATTTCGAGTCATTCTCGGTGCATTTCATTTTGAAGTCTCTCCTTATGAAATATGGTCCATTTAAGATTTCTTATAACATACATAATTGTTTCTTCTATAAGAAATGGGGACATGTTAAGAAAGACTCGCTCGAAGTATAAAAAATGGCTCGTAAAGAAAGGTAAACTTGTCTTTTTAGTGTGTCATGAATTTTTTTTTTTTTTTTTGAGGCGCCTATTAATATATGGTGGATTGATTCCGGCTCTACAATCCATATTGTGAATATCATGTAGGGCTTTCTAGACCTAAGGAAGACGAAAGGAAATAAGGAAGGCATCTATTCGGAAAATTGGATGTGCTCTAAAGTTGAAGCTATGGGGATTTATATATTAATTTTAAAATCTGAATTTATTTTGGATTTGGAAAATATCTTTTACTTTCTATCATTTTTTACTAATTTGATTTCAGTTTTTAGACTTTATAGTATTGACTATGGATTTTTGTTTAATAAAAATATCTTTAGTATTTTGAAAAATAAAATTTCTATTAGTGGTCGAACCTTAATTGATGGTTTATATAAAATTGATCTAGACTCCATTTTTAAGCTTAACTATTTATCAATGCATGTTAATGCGAGTATTAAAAGAAACAAAATTGATGAGAATTCCTCTACATTGTGGCATAGGAGATTATGTCACATCTCCATTGAAAGAATTAAAAGGTTGGTGAATGATGGAGTTCTAAACACTTGATTTTACTAATTTTGGTATTTTTTTGGATTGCGTAAAGAGAAAACAAATTGACAAGACTATAAGAAGTGCCACGAGGAGTTCAAAAATATTAGAAATCATACACCGACATATGTGAACCATTTAATATTCCTTGCCTAAAGAGTCAAAGATTTTTTTATCTCATTTATTGATGATCATTCTAGATTTATGTATCTCTATCTTTTATATGATAAGTTGAAGCACTTGATACTTTTAAGACCTTTAAGGTTGAGGTAGAGAAACAATAAGGAAAAGACCATCAAGATTGTGAGGTTAGATAAAGATGAAGAGTGTTATGGTAGTTATACTGAAAAAGGACAAATGCTAGGTACATTTACAAAGTTCCTTGAAGAAGAGGGCATTATTGCATAGTATACAATGTTTGGCACACCACAATACAATAGTGTAACCGAAAGAAGGAATCGTACTTTCATGGAGATGGTGAGGAGCATGATTAGCAATTATAACTTACCATTATCTTTATGAAGTGAAGCCCTAAAGATCGCTCTATATATATTCTAAATAGGGTTCCATCTAAGGTCATCTTTAAGAAACCTTTTGAATTATGAAATCGATGAAAACCTAGTTTAAATCATACATATGTATAGGGTTGTCTTGTTGAGGTAAGGATTTGTAATTGTTAATTAAAGAAATTAGACCATAGACAATCAATGAATATTTCATTGGTTATACAATAAACTTTAAAGAATATAGGTTTTATAGTCCTTCTCCCAGTACTAGAATAGTAGAGGCAAGAAATGCTAAATTTCGTGAGGATCTAAACCTTAGTGGGAGTGATTTTTCTCAAAGAATAAAATTTAAAGAAACACAAGATTCAACTATGTTGCATAAAAATATAAGACAATTGGTTATTGTTCAAAAAAGTCAATTAGATAATATGAAACAATAACAAATTCCTAAAAAAAAAAAAATTCCCGAGCAATAAGTTCAATAACAACTAACTCTTGATGAGATAAAACCACTTGAAGGTGTTGAATTGAGGAGATCTTCCATAATAAAAAGACTAATAATTTCTAATGACTATATTGTATACATTTAAGAGTCCGACTTTGTTGTTGGACTTAAGAATGATCCAAACTTGTTTTCATAAGTTATGAATGGAGAAAACTCCACTTTATGGTATAATGTCATTAAGAAAGAAATCGATTCTATGCAAAAAAAATCAAGTTTGAGACCTCATCGAATTACCAAAAGCATTTATAGTAGTTAGGTACAAATGGCTTAAAAAACCAAAAGAGATTCTTTTGGTAATATCGAACTATATAAAGCTAGAATTGTGGCTAATGGTTATACCCAAAAGGAAAGCATAGACATCTATGAGACTTTTTTTCTCTAGTTTCGAAAATGATTCATTCAAAATAATAATGGCATTAATAGCTCATTTGGATTTGGAGCTACATTAGATGAAGGTGAAAACAACATTTGTAAATCGAAATTTGGATAAAGAGATACAATGTCACTTGGTGATACAAATAACCACTTGATTTGCAAGCTAAAGAGCCCTATATGGACTAAAGCAAGCCCCTCGATAGTGACATATTAAGTTTTAAAATTTTATTAACTCATATGGTTTTTTTTAGAATATTATTGATCAATTTATATATCTTAAAATTAGTGGGAGTAAATATATTTTTCTTATCCTATATGTAAATGATATTTTGGTTGTAAGCGATGAATTGGGTTTGTTTCATGAGACTAAGTAATTTCTTTCTCAAAACTTTGATATGAAGGATTTAGGTGAAGCCTTTTATGTCATTGGCATATATATTCTTGAGGCATATCTCAAAGAATATTAGAACCGTCTTAAAAGGCCTCTATTGAAAATTTTTTTAGAAAGATTCAAGATGTCAAATTGTGCAT